GTAGCAGTAGCAGTAGCAGCAGTAAACATGGATAGCAGGAGTAGGGGTAGTTAGCAGCAGCGGTACGTAGAACGGCCAATCCGTCTCCCGTCAGGTGGGTTTAATGCGGCTGCGAAGCTGCCCAGGCAGAACCAGCAAACTTTTCTTACATCTACGACAGAAAAGGTATAACCGTACAATTAATACTAATACTGATACTCACTTAAGCACCTCAAACAAGCACGGGCCTGTGCGGACAATTCGAGCCCATCGGGTGCATCCTCGCGCTCTATCCCTGAATGGGCTGGATCCTGCAACAGACGACGCAAAAATACTGTGGTGCTTTCGGACGCGATCTCCGGACAAGCTTAGTCCTGTCCTAGTTGCCTCGCGGTTTGGAGCTCTATTCTGGTCACCCCCGACGAAAGTTTTGTAGCGGCGGTCCTGCGCCGGAGCTTCAGGAGCCTGCGATTACTCACTCAAGTCGCTGAACATGATATTGGCCACTGAACGGATGTAGACATCACAGTATACATGCTGCAGAGAGTTTCAAACCACGGCTTGTGCGAAGGCACCACCTTTCTTATCCTTCTTTAACCAACGCGCCTGCACAGGTGCGGCTGCAGGTGCGGCTGCAGGCGCGGCCGCAGGTGCAGCTGGGACTCCCTCTGGCGGGGCGCTGCTGCCAGCTGCGGCATAGCCGCCTCCCTCCTGTTGAAGCAGCTGAGGACGGCGAGCAAAGCGACATGTCCAGCTTTCCGCCTCATCATGCCCATGAATAGACGTCACTACCACTGCTTCCGGCTGGTACCAATGAACGGGCGTCCTGCACTGGCGCTTCAGTCATCTGCCAAGATGCGCGGATTCGTGGCTTCAGGGTGGTCGATTCGGGTGGAGCAGCGAACCCGACACTCACAAGCTCCAGCCATGGACGAAGCAATCGTACTCAACTAGCTGTTGAAAGCAACGTATATCGTATGCAACTGAAAGCTAGGGTTCCAACTTAGGACTCTTGGAGGTGTCGAAGAAACCACCAACCGGAGCAAGACTCTCCAGCCCGACACCCAAACAGCGATCCTCCAGGTGGGGAGACCGGTTGCAACTTGTTCAAAACCAAGAACCTGGACTTGCATCAGCCCCCTTCCCTCGCTTCTGGGCACCAGACCATGGTGCAGGAAGCCTTGCCGCGTGCAGGCAAGGCGGAACGCTCTTGAGCCAAGGCTACTCAGATTCGAAGGGTTGACATATGTTGACTTGCAAGGCCATGTCTGGAAGTTCCAGCTTCGTCTGCCCCTGCAGATGAAAACTCGACTGACTCACGTCTGCAGGCACCCCCCATGAAACTCACTATATCAGCTAGCAGGTGCAAGCTGTCGCAACTAGCAGGCACCACTTCGGAGGATCGCACTACCGTCGCATCCGCACAACGCTCCGAGTTTCTGAGGGAGCAGTGTTCCCTCAGAGCAGCCCAGCACAGTGCTTGGGCACTCTGCGGGAGTTCGCTTTCGGCTGAAGGGTTGGCAAATTGCTACTTGCGCAGGCGTTTCGAAATACTTTCAACTTTACACGAATACTGGAGTCGTGTGAGAGCGGGAACACACAAAACACAACACATCTCTTCGTACACTTAGAGCTGGCCATGACGGGGCTCAGGTGAAGACGAATGAAGGCTTACATAGAAGGAACAGTCTTGTGCTCGACCCTTTGTACCAGAAGTGTCAGGCCGAGTATGCCAAGCACATATGGCAGCACGAAAGCAAAAAGCAAATGCAGACATACTGCAAGACTGTGCTGGGCGGCATGTGGGCAATATCTTCTTGCAATCCTTTTCTGCGCAATTGGGGCCAGAGTAGAGGGGGAGAGTCTGAAACGTTGCAAGTTTGCAGGCAGGGAGCACTTCGACATCCACGTGGCCGAATTGAAAGATCAGCTCGATTAACCTTCCGATTAGTTCGCCTGCTTAACACTTCGCCATCTGGATGCCGTGCTCACCCGTCGGCAAAACTACCTCGGCAAGAGATTCAGGCGCAAGCCAGGACGCGGTGGCACGAAAAAAGAACTTCCGGAGGTCTAGCCTGAGAGTCCTGCGCATTAAGAAGCTGGAGCAAACTCCCAGGCACAATCTCGGTGCTCCGGCATCGAAGGCCTGGGGCGGGCACTGCGAAGCTGTGAATCGCTCGCTTGGATTCGTAATGTCTGAGCGATGCCATAAACCGTAAAGCTTACAAGGAGACACACGTTGCATGCATGCTCTCTGACTTGCCGGGTCGGCGACCATAGCTGCAAGGCATTGCCTTGTTGTAAATCTCAAACAAGCAGCACATGCAAAACACGTGGTGCTTCGCAAACTGAACATGCACCCCTCCCGAGGCCAACACTCATGGCGCTCTGCGAGGTAGTATGGTCACCCAGATGCTGGCTCAGCACTGCCTCCGCCAACGAAATGCGTTTACAAACGAACGAGGAGACCGAGACAGGGCTTTCCGAAGGCTCGGCTGGGCTCCGTGCGAGATTCGCCCAATACTGCCTCAGCTTTGGGCATGCTCTGAACACCCCAGCTCGGTGCTCTGCGGTGGTTGGAAAAACTGAGTTGCAAATTATAGCGATTCAGCACAGGCAGAAGTCAACAAACACAAAAAAAAGCATCTGCTGCCTGCATCCAAGCTTCGGGTTATCGGGGTTCAATGAAACAGCTTTTCGGACGGCTCGAGCCTGTGCGGGCTCACGTAAAACGCACATGCAAAACTTCAGCGATGCCGGACTCCTGCAGCCTACCCTTGCTCTTGTCCTGTACCCTCGACAGTCACTGTCCATAGCGGCCATAGTGAACTCACATGGACTCTAGGGAAACTGAGCTCGATCGGGCACCCATGCCTGACAGATCACCAATCCAAAGCGTCATCCATTGAGCTAGTCCAGCATTTATACGGACCCGCATTCACAGCCCGCCAGCTGGATTCTGGGCTTGCCACGCCATCGTGCAAGTTCATCCGGGAAGCCTCACGCTCTATGCAAGCCATCCACGAGCATAGCCGTGTGGCAAGGAGCCATTTGGTACTTTCAGAAAACTAGGGTACCCTATTTAGGGGTCCTTATAATAAGGATCCTACTATTTAGGGTCCTATATCAGGGTCCCCTACTTTCTGAAACTCCCATTTGCGACGAGAAGCTACGAGCGAGGCTAGGGGTTTGATTGGCAGTGCGTTTCCGTCTGAGCAGGAGACCCACATATGCCACAGACTTAGCCCACAAAGGTCACCTCTGGGGCCAAGACCAGGCAGCAGCCGAGGTTGTTCCAACCCTTTGCAAAGTCCGGGTTGAGCCTCGTTCTTGCGAACACACTGAGCAGTCACTTGCAACAGAGAGGCCCTGACTCGGACATAAAACCGAATACCCCGCCCTTCTTCACAGAAGGATTATGTGTCTTCTTCCCTTCCATCTCCTTTTCAGAGCCAGGCTGAAGAGCAATCTGTAACCTGCCCACATGCAGATGTCTTTGCCGGTCA